CCGTCTTCAGTTTCTGTTGTACGTACTATATATATATATATATAGTCGCCTGTGTGTTTTATGAAATACCAATTTTGAGTCAGACCACTGTTTAATCTGATGGACTACAGGTGAATAAAATATAATAAGTGGTAACTTTTATAGTGTGTATTTGTGTAGTAACTAGTGATGTTCCTTGAACATCAGGGAGTAACACGATGTGAAATAAACGGTAAACAAGGTGCTGTAAACTGTGAGTTTGGTTGAGTAAAATGGTGAAAACATTCTACTTAGTAATGTTTCCGTAAAATTAATAATGTTTAACAAAGTAAATTCATCAAATCGTGAGTCTGGTGTAGATAGAATTGATTCTTATGAAATATGTAATGAGTATGATAATCTTTGTTGCGCTAGACAACAATTCGTAATGTATAAATTTGTGAGTTTCACAAGCAAATATGGTCCATATGAACAAAATTATGATATGATCGAATAACAAAAACTTACAAAGTACAAACAGATAACTTCTTTATTTAATCAAATTCTCTACTTGCAGTTTAGTAAACAGTGTAATATATTATTAAACAGTTCAGTATTAAAAACGTCTACCGGAGTGTTTCTAATTGCTAGATGATGTATGTTTAAACTAGCATTCTATCTGAAACGTTTCACTGTAATATACCTGTTTCTGAAGATTCCTGGCTTTGTGAAGGTTATCGTCCTTGTGGCAGTTTCGTGGATTGGTTTCGCCACTGTCTGGCAAGGACCTCTGTACTGCAAAAAAGAAACGACAAAGGAAGAGGCGGTAGTTAGTCCTATCCAAAACGTCGAAGAAGATACTACTTTGAAACAAATGAACAGCGTTATAGATTATCTCAAGTTAGTAATGACGATTGAGTAAATTCATTTCTTTGTACGTTTTAAGACACTAAAAGGAACGTAAGTTTTCGTGTGATTTCTTTTTCATTTAGATGTCAAGTATTTTTTGTGTGATTTCGAATTTGAAGAAGCAATTTGTGACTTAAAAGTTTTTTTTAAAAAAGAAAGGCACTAGAAGTACTTTTTAATTAGAGTTCAATTGAAGTTGGTTTTATGATGTTAATTTAAATATTCTAATTTTGATTCAAATATTTTAATGGTTGAATAGGAACAAGCCTTCAATGGCTCCCCGCTAAAAACCGAGTTTCGATACTTATGGTGGGCAACACAGATAGCTTAGCAACAAACAAATGAATATGAATGATACCCTTTTGTGAAATTAACTGTTTGTTGTTTAGTGTTAGAAAACCTTTCGGCTTACCGCTGGGCCACAGCGGAGTTGGAATTAAATTTGTTTTGGTGTAAAATTAAAGAAAGAATATAAATTAATAAAGCCTGATTGTTCAGCCACAAACACGTAATTTAGATACATATTTAATGTTTTCCTGCACTTATAAAATGAAAATACAATTCAGTAATTTTTCTGCGAAGTTACTCTTCAATAATAGAAATCTACTCACAGCTGTACCTTTGAACTGTAATTTTATTTACCCTGTACGCTGATCTGTATTCTCCAAGAAACTGTTTAACGAATTAATGATTTCCTTGTCTGACTTCAGCTTCTTGTTCAATTTTTTAATGTTCGATCGAAGATAGTACCACATGTCAATGACACCTTCCTCCACCTTTTTTCTTGTCCGTTCGTAATCTTTGCTAGGTACATTTTGATCTAATACTGATGTGACAGATAAACATTTACTTCTTTAAGTGTTACATTAAACAATAATATTTCAGTACATTTTGATCTAATACTGATGTGACAGATGAACATTTACTTCTTTAAGTGTTACATTAAACAATAATATTTCAGTACATTTTGGCAAAAAAAACAACAACCTCTACCCTTCAGATAATAACAATAAACATAATATTTCTTCCAACGTTATGCAGTTTCGGCTTCATCAACGCTAGTATTACAAGGACTTGTACTAACAACTCTGATGAAGCCGAATGGTAAAATTTTGGCAGAAATATTTTTTATTATTATTATCACAAGAGTAAAGGTCTTTTTTTTTAACTTTATTATCAAAATGTCTAATTCACTACAAATTCTGAAAAACAACAAAATATTCCACAAGATCATTTTATGCTGTGACCGTTTTGATAAACTACACTTGAACTTCTGAATAGAAATGTTTTAACAATATAAGAAAAACAAGGTTGTTTCATTAATAAGAGTTGAAAATATACTTTTTATCTGTACTATTAAAACTATGGTAAACAACTTGGTATTACGCTTTAAACTTACAGTTTTAAACGTCGAAAATTGGTGATGAATTGAAAAGCAATGGGCCTAATAAATCACGACGTTTACCTTTTGAGTCAGTAAATACTTGTTTTTCATGTTTTTCTTGGCAATGCCTTGTAAGTTCACTAATACTTGCCAGTTTTTTGTTGAGTTCTTTAAATTCTTCTTCCGTTAGCTTACCTTCAGATGATACTAGAATTCTGGAATAAATACAGAAAAAAGAATTGTTTGTTTTGAATTTCGCGCAAAGCTACATGAGGGCTGTCTGCGCTAGCCGTCCCTAATTTAGCATTGTAAAACTAGAGAGAAAGCAGCTAGTCATCACCACCCACCGCCAATACTTGGGCTACTCTTTTACCAACGAATAGTGGAATTGACCGCACATTATAACGCCCAACGGCTAAAAGAGCGAGCATGTTTAGTGAGACGGGGATTCGAAACCGCGACCCGCACATTGCGAGCTGAGTGCCCTAACCACCTGGTCATGCCGGGTCCACAAAAAAAAAATATAAACGTAAAGTATGTAAGTATTAATATACCACTAAACTGGCATTTTCTTTACAAAGTTTTTAACAAAATAATTCCCATGCTTTCACATTAACTTCAGAAAAGCTTTGGTAACACTCAGAGGCGTCGCTAGGTGCTTAAAAGGTTTGGACCTGCAGGTGCGGGAATTTTCGGTGTTTCAGTATGATATCGATCACGTTTTCTATTCTGATTTTTTAAAAATCCAACTGGGGATTCGTGGCACTGTCAAGAAGAATCAGAGCACGGGTCCCCGTGTGCCAGTGTCTAGGGACGCCTCTGGGAACACTTAATCCTAACGCTTTGTTTCTAAACCCTTCGTGACCTAGCGAAGAATACATGCCTTGAAGTGAACATATTTTTAGGTCAGCCTTTTAAGAAATATATTAAAATTCTTACTCTCAATGCCATCAATAGGATCCCCTCTTTTCGTGAAACCCATAAAAGAAATAGTTCTAAAGTTTGACTTATGCCTTTTATTACCTTTAGCAAGATTTGTGACTTTGTAGATAAATGATGCATCTTAGATAAATAAGTTATTTGGGTCCATTAATAGAGATCTAAGTAGTTTTGTAGGGGAGAGGCTGCTTTTTTTCATTTTTTGTACTGAACTAATGTGTTGTTTCCGATTGATTTTAACGCCAATGTCTTAAATTGCGCCTAGTTTAACATTTGATTGCTCAAGTTTATCACGTGAGTTTGTTAAGATATGGTTCAGCTTTTATTGTTGACGCTGTAAGAGATTTTGGCTTTATAAAAGTTCTGTAAGTAGTATATTATTTGGATAGTCGATATTGTTATCGATATCAGTGATATTAGACTCAACAATTTGTTAATACCGTTCGTAAATCAACGCTAAAGTTCTTCCATAATTAAACTATTCAAACTGTCACTTTCAACAACATTATATACATTTTTGTTACTGTTGCGATACGTACATTACAGTTTTGATGGAGTTCTATTTGCAGCCCACATATTACAGTTATAATGCAGTTTTATTCGCGACCTACACATGACAACTGTAATATAGTTTTATTCGCGGTCTATAAATTACGGATTTGATGGAGGCCTATATATTAAAGTTATAATAAAGTTCTATTTTCGGCCTATACATTGCAGTTATGATAGAGTTATTATTCGCGACCTGTACATTTCAGATCGCGTTTTTTGATGTTAACTTTTACCGGAGTTTCAGTAAACTGATCACCTGAAACAGTAGAGAATCGTTCAATTTTGTGTCACTCGTTAATTGAAATAATTCACTAAGAACAAACTTTAATGGGATATTTTAAACTTACACCTTCAGTAAACTGTTTAGAATACAAATCGATTAGTTTTTGTTCTTTTTTTTCGACTGAGAGTGGTATGAAGTGTTTGAGAAAGGAAGAACTTTATTATTATTATTATTTTACAAAAATTTATTTATTGGAAATAATATAGTGCACTGAATTCAAAATAGTTTAATGCAAATAGCATTATAATTTATAATATTAAACAGAGCGAAGTCTGCATTTCCAAGATCTATGTCTTCTGTTTAAAAAACATATAACAGAAATTACTTATTTTAAATCG